GAGTGATGTTATTCCAAATCTTTGTGTGTAATTTACATAAACAACATGCTAGACAAATTCTTTTCATGTATTGAATGAAGATGATGTTGACCTATGTTTGATTTCATATTTTAATTATAACAAACTAGTTGCTTTTATCTCTAACAATTGATTTCGAGTCGTTACAGGTATTGTGGCAAAGTTGATCAATTGAAGACAAAGAGATCACTATCAAAAGACTTGCAATTGATATTCAATGAAAATCGAGATGGAAGCTGAGCATTCACGTCAAATCAATCAAAAACAAGTACTTCAACGGTCAAACATTGAAGATATTAGATTAAGATGTTTTTGACTCATATGTAAAGGTAAAAAGCTTTAATCCTTAGTAACGAATCATTAAAAGCTTAATATGAATTTTTATGCATGAGAAAAATTATTTCATTAAAATACTTGCATAAAAATTATTTCTCAAAAAGTAAGAATCTCAACTTGATATTTAAACTTCTCACAAATGTCACTTACCTTGAAAAATTAAGTGAAAACGTCATTCAAAAATCTACATTATTAAAACAATCAAAGAAGGAAAAATTTGGGGAAACACTCTCCAAGCAAATGTCTTGTTGACCTAGCGGACATCTTGTTCGTCCATACAACAACTAGTTCAGTGTCCAGTTCAGAAGTGAATGTCAGGTTGAGTCGTCTAGTTGGTCAGAACTTTTGACGTTTTAACTGCTATAAATACCACCTCACTTTATATTCAATTCAACACTTTTGAGAGTATTAAAATGAGACACTCTTAAGCCAAATCATTGAATATACATTTTATTTATCTTTATCAAATTATTTAGTTTTGAAAAACTTTTGATTAAATTAACTTTAGAAGATCATTCTACTCATCAAAGTTTTTCTTACCTAACATTTGAGCTTCATTCATTACTGTTTATTAAAGTACATTTGAGCTTCATTCATTACTGTTTATTAAAGTGTTATCCCATTTTCTCTCTTGGTGCTTAATTTTAATTAGATCCTTTATTGAAGGGGGGGGAGAGAGAGAGAGAAGTTTTGAATTTTAAAATTATACTATTTA